GGTGGAAAGCCGGGATTCCTTGGGATATCCCGGAATTCTGGGGCCGGGCGGGTTTCCCGGGCTTTTCCAGGTGAATTCCACAGGAATTCCATGGGAATTCGGGGCTGAGCTCCATTCCCATTCTGGTTTTGGTGCTGCTTTGGTGGAAAGCCGGGATTCCTTGGGATATCCCGGAATTCCAGCACTGGATGAGTTTCCCGGGCTTTTCCAGGTGAATTCCATGGGAATTCCACGGGAATTCGGGGCTGAGCTCCGCTCCCATTCTGGTTTTGGTGCTGCTTTGATGGAAAGCCGGAATTCCTTGGGATATCCCGGAATTCCGGGGCCGGGCGGGTTTCCCGGGATTTTCCAGGGGTTTCCCGTGGGAATTCCATGGGAATTCCATGGGAATTCCGTGGGATTCGGGCTCACCTTGGTGTGCAGCTTGGCGAACTGCTTGTCGTCCAGCAGCGGCTGGGAATACACACGGCGCTTGTAGCGGAACTGCCGAGATAAGAGATTGATAAGGGATTGATAAGGGATTGATAAGGGATTGATGAGAGATTGATAAGGGATTGATAAGGGATTGATAAGGGATTGATAAGAGATTGATAAGGGATTGATGAGAGATTGATGAGGGATTGATAAGGGATTGATAAGAGATTGATAAGGGATTGATGAGGGATTGATGAGAGATTGATAAGAGATTGATGAGGGATTGATGAGAGATTGATGAGAGATTGATGAGAGATTGATGAGAGATTGGTAAGGGATTGATAAGAGATTGATAAGGGATTTATAAGGGATTGATGAGAGATTGATAAGGGATTGATAAGGGATTGATAAGAGATTGATAAGGGATTTATAAGGGATTGATGAGAGATTGATAAGGGATTGATAAGGGATTGATGAGGGATTGATAAGGGATTGATAAGGGATTGATAAGAGATTGATAAGAGATTGATGAGAGATTGATAAGGGATTGATAAGGGATTGATAAGGGATTGATAAGGGATTGATGAG